CTACAGAACCTTAATTGTAATACCAAAGCCTAAGGTGAAATTTGACTCAAAAGATATATATCACCTACATATGTAATCTGATAGGCTTGTAATTAAGAATAAAAATATCTGAGGAAAAAATATTCAAACTTGAGTAAGTCTGTCTTACTCCCCAGTAGAAGAGGGCACAGGTGGTTTTATGTCTTAGACTGGTTATGTCTCCATGCTTTAGCAGACAAAATGCTGCCATTACCATGGCCCGTGAAATTAGCAGGGCTCATTTGGAAGGAAACCTACTGAAAGAGGTTTTAAAAAATGATATAAAGAGGTCTGGACCATTAAAGTGGCGATAAATCCTGACATTCAGCATGCATTTCCTTTTAACTAGCAGCCGCATTAGATATTAGATTGAGTGGGCCCCCAAGTGTCATTTCAGACCCAAAAGGAACTGCCTTTAGGTTTGCCTGGGAACAGCTTGAATAAAAATAATGCTGTGAAAGGCTTATTCGCACTCACAATCACACATAAGGCAATTTCTGCCATAACAGGGACTAGGACTGGGAGGAAATGAGTCTATGGCAAAATACACCTTTTCTGGTGGGTTTTCTCCCTCATGCATACCAATGTATATAGCTCATCTGCAATCAAAGGGAAAGGTTGAAAATCTTGTTGGGGTCTCTCTCCTTTGGCAGTGTGTATCTTGATAAAGATCCAATGTACGTGCGCACACCGACTTCCAATGGCAAAGAATAACGAGGTATAGAAATTCAGAAAATATCCAAAGACAAATATTGCATCAAACATGACTTCATTAGTCAAACTAATCAGTCAGTGAAATGCACATTTAGAGATAATTATTTGATAATTGCTGAATTTTTTGCTGAAATCTACAAACTACACTCCTCAGCTTCTCACTCTATCTCTTTTAGTGGCTCAGAGACTCCTCTGCTCCAAGACGGGTCAGGAAACTGTTTCTTAAGGGTCTTGCAGTGTACCAACAGGATCAACATGTTTTCTTGACCCCCAGGACTCTGAGCAGAAAAGTAAATGTTGGGCCTGAAGAAGTCAGCTTCTCACTGTGGCAGAAAAGAAACATCTGCAGTATGTGCTGTTACTAGAATCTGTGAACACTGAACCCTGCAAACAAGTGAAGAGATGTTTCAAGGTGAACGTGGCAATTTATTTATACTAACTTCATTGTGAAAAATCTAACAAATCTAACTAAAATAAGCTATTAGGTATATATATATATATATATATATATGTATTGAGGCATGAGGAAAAAAAGTATTTGGTGTGAAGCTAAATTAACAACAGTGTACATAGCAACTGAGCTATGACACAAAAGGTGTGTCATGTCAGGGGGTATGAAGAGCAGACTTTTTTTTCACACATATTTTGGCTTGTGCCACAAAAAGCAAGATTGTGAATATCTATTTCATTATCGAGCAGGGAGCAAGGTTTAATTTTTCATTTAAGAACTTTGTTTTTCACTAGTGCTAAAGAAATAATGAATTGCAGTAATGTTTTGATGCGTGGAGGAGGAGGGTGGCATTCATCTTGTCTGCACAAATGATAAATAATTTTTCTTGTTCATGTGTAAAACAACAAAAGCGGCGACACTTCACCTGCCAACTATCATCCTTGTTAAATCTGAACAAATCGCCCTCTGAAGATATAAGGCAATGTAATTAAATGTTTAGACTTAGAAGCTACAATGAATGTCAAAGCGGGCTTGATCTTCACAGAACGGCTTTCAAATCAACACCAAAAAACTTTAATTCTTATTGCTAAAATGGTTTTCATGTTTTTCTACAGCGGATAGAAGATATGTTTATATGTTTCCAAATATGAGCCACTTTGTTCACGGCTGAATGAGCAGGAATTACACTGTGTGTGCGTGCGTGTGTCTGCATGCATGTACATAATGGTTCTAAGTGTGAATGCGTATCCGTGTTTGAGCCTGCGTGGGTGTTTACACACTAAAACAACCTCATTAATGAATAACTGACATTCTCTATGAATGTCTGGAACCAAAGATGACATCCCTGTGATGAGTCTATTACATAATTTAGATTCAAGTGCATAGCACGTGGCTGCAGCATCCCGCTGCGAGGGGCCTACGATGCAGCCAGTCTATGATCTTATTGCATGTGTTGCGACCTTGAGTCATGCATATTAAAGGACCAATCCTCAAAGAATGTGTATCATGAGGACATAATCTTTAAAGAGGCCAAGAAGAACAAATAATGCCCTAAAAAGCAAAAAAGGTTTGGGGCTTCTCAATGGCTTGTACACATTTTGTAATTATGTGCACGTGCCTACAAAGCACAGTAAAATGCCATCTGTGCTTCCATAAAAGATGGACCCCATATTTGAAGACTTATTGTACTTTTGGTGTACAAATTGAACCTTTATGATCCAACATAGCTGAGAACATGGGTGAGTCTATATTAAAAATATATATTAAAAAGGAGCAGTTAAGCTGAGTAACCTGGAAGTATTTTGGTATCTTTTATACAACAATTTGGATAAAATGTGCCTATCAAGGTGCAAACAGTCTTTCTACAATTCCACAAATATCTCTCATCTTGCACTTAAATAATCCCATCTATGGAAGTTTACTCTTTACAAGATGTAGTCAGACTTAATCGATGGTATGCAATAATCAAAAAGTGCTTTTGTTTCCATTTCTCATCCGCTCTGTGCATTGAGTGCGTGTTTGACGGCTATCTTAATTATCTAAGGGGATCATTTGGAAACAGACTTTTTCATTCCAGTATGGGCACGATTAGCACTTTATAGGCCAATTTAATACACTCTCCAAACCACTCTGATTTGCTGGCAGTTACTGCTGCTTTGTGCAGTCCTATTGCTGGCATCAGCAGGCTATCAGCAGGTCTTTCTCTTTGTTCTTAGTTGTGGTGCTCTGTTATACGCAAGATGAAGGTGTATACATTGTTGTTTTTTTAAGCCACATAGAAGAAGCAAGCCATCAAACTCAAGTTTCCAGATGCTCACATGTATGATTTTATCAATTATAAATGCAAATGTTTTCCGGGCCCAGCATCTGTTGGATTTCCTTCTTAACCCAGAGGAACAAGTAACAATTTTTATGTTTTTTTTTATGTTTGTGTTTGACACAGCACAGTGGTTGAATGTATTTCAACAAGCTAAGGATTATCATAAAGTGTCACAATTAGGTTCTTGACTCTTCTGGCAGACTTTCTAAATTACTCATAAACTGAGTAATGTAGAAACTGTATTTTTCATGCCATTTTCTTGCTGGCTTTGTTAAAAATTGACATTTTCTCTACAGAATGCCTTTCTGTTAGGATTTAATGAAATCCAGCCAATCACTGGGGTCTTCATCTAGTCACTCAAGAACCTTGTTGATTTTTTTTTTTTAAAGTCTGAAAGAAAAATGAATAAAAGTTTATTTTGAGGCTTTACAACCTTCATTCTTTAGCTGTTTTATGCTTAAATGAGAAAAGCAATATAGTTTTCAAACTAAATTTCATCATTTCTGCAGTGTGTCCTCTCAAAGTGATTATGAAGCAATGCTTTGTATTCACAAGTGACTAGTGTTTAGTTTTTTCTTTCCAAATCTCCTCCTACAGATGCACCTGTTTCAGTAAGGCCATTTGCAAGCACACCAAAGCCCAGCTTCCATACAAGAGGTTTAAAGTTGGGTCTCCATTGTGTCCCAAATTATGTCCTCCCTAGTCAAAACAGCAAAGTTTATAATACAACAGGGCTCACCCCACAGCGCTAAAAAGGTCAATGTAAAATTACCTTTTCCAATCTAAGCTAAAGCACCAGTTAACACAGTTTGCCCTTTGACCCAATAGTCTCACGTCTGAGAGATCAGTTACTGTATGTTAACCTGCAAAATGAAAGACAACTTAACTGCAACTTCTGTCAGAGTTCCAAACAGTGGGGACACCTTTCTGATATTGAGCCGCAGCAGTGCTCAACTGCCCCAAACTCATCTGTTACTGGCACAGATTTAACAAGGGAAATCAATAAAGGATAAAGCCTTTCACCTGGATTCACCTCATCACTGTGCATCATAAGACCAGCTGTCTGTGGTATTTCTTACATTTGCTGTATGTTTCCCACAAAACGATTTTTAGTCTTTAAAGACCTGTAGCTCTATGTTCAAATATTAATGTTGTTGTTGGCAAAATGTTCTAAACATATTTCTCTACAACTGTGTCCTGTGACATCTGATTTCAGGATAGCATTTTTTAAAATCATTCATTAAAAAATTCTCACTTCTTTGCTTTGATTCAGACCTGGCCTTGGATTTGGTTTAGAGGGATGGGATTCTGTGACTGTAAGTGTGTGAGAGAGGGGGGGAGGGGAGCGAGAGAAGGTGAGGTTGTGGTGTGTGTGTGTGTGTGTGTGTGTGTGTGTGTGTGTGTGTGTGTGTGTGTGTGTGTGTGGTGGGGGAGGGGGGAGGGGGGATCCAAAAACATTGATTTTTAAAGGAAGATGGCATCTACTTGTGTAATATTAAATAGATTTACAGGGCGACACTTCCCGCAGGTTAAACTAAAGTGTTAACGATTTTTGCCGTCGTTTATCATATCATCCATCAAAAAGTACGTTTTATTGTTAAATGTGTGGTTACTCTCTGTTCTATAAGAGAACATCTCTCCTTCGTGCGCTGCGTAAAGGCGCTCCAGTGCACATTGTTTCCTTTCCAGAAATGATATCACAGTTGCCAATCAGCCTCAACAAGAAAGACGTTTTGAACAAGTTGATTAAAAATTATATATTTTGCATCTCTATTTATATGTAGTTATATTTATTCCTTATCGTGTAACAAGTGCTGCTGCGAGACTTCAGCACCTCGGACAGCGACTAGCTGGTCACCACTGCCTCTGTCCGCTTGGGGCCTTTGGTCTTGTATGACTCAAATTTGTAAAACTCTCACTAATAAACAAACTTTTTTTCCTTCACCCTGTTCCCTTTTACATGCATGTCAATAAGAAGTGATAAATACGCTTAGCCTATACAATACAATATCTTTTATTAAGCGGGACATATAGGGATTCTTCTATTATTTCCACAATGTACATTTGGTGAGCAACGTCACTGAACATTAAATCAGTCAAAGCTACGCAGATTCCGAAATGTAGAACACACAATAATGTGAATATGTACTTTATAAATTATAATTATTTCTTTCATAAAAGGGCTCAAAGTCGTCTCCGGTGGCTAAAATATGTCGCCTTTTTTTCTCTTTTAATAAACTCGTCGGCGGCCTACATTTGGCTCATTTTCAGTATGTTCAGCATCCAAACGCAACACCATTGACAGCACAAAACACAAAGTAAAAACTTCCACTCGTGCAAAAAAATGCCTTTGGGCGTGAAAGCACTTCTTCTCTGGTTGTCCATAATTCCATATACTTCACTTGCACGGAAACCATATATTCTTTAAGGCTATAGTACAAACATAAAATAGAGCATAACACACTCGGCCTGTCCGGGACATCAGTTCTTCCACTCATCCTCTTCTCCCGTGTCCATCTTGCCCAGGTACACCCGTTTGTCTCTTGGCAAAGTTTGTTTTCCAAGCAAGAAAAAAATCCACATACCAACAAGCACGCCGCTGGCCGATCAATATGTTTAATCATCCAGATCGCGTTAAAGTTGACTGATGGATTTGAATATATGAAACTCCAAGGAAACGTTCATATTTGACTAGATAGTGGACGAGTGTAGGTATACAGATATTCGTCGGCTTCCTTGGCTGACAGTTATTTAAGTTGAAAATAAATGGCATGGTTTGGTTGTTTTTGTTTTTGTTTTTTTGTTTTTTGTTTTTTTGTTTCTCGACCTAAGCCGAGTCCCGTGCGACGTGGATCATCGCCGATCAAATTATAGAGGAAAGACTAGAAAGCCTGAGAAGGTGGAGTATTTCCATCCGCCCATTAGGGTGCCCCGTTCCAGCTTCAGATAGACCCGGTCCTCCCGTTCAACCATCAGCAGTACTCCGTTGCTGGCCGCCTCTCTCGTAACATCCTGGTCACCGGCGAATGCTGATATAACCGGGTAATCATTCTGCATCAGGTTCACCTGCAGGAGAGGGGAGACACAGGCTTGGCGTTTAGTCTCATGCTCAGGACTGTCGGTGCACTGAAACGTCATCTATTAAATGTTGAATGTAGACCAACTATTCAATTACTCACCTGTATGGTCTGTCTGTTGTAGACCTTCACCACGTGAAAGCTGAAACTATAGATCCCCCTCCTTGGAGCCTGGAAAACACTTGCTTTAAGATCGAAATGGTTGCCGATGTTCACTAAAACCTGTGACCAAGAAAGGCGCACAATAAGACAGCGCTGTATTTATATATATATATTTTTTTGTCCATCTGCATGCTTCACTTAACATAACAGCTGGTTTTGTACTAATGCATTGTTTGCCTCTGCCACCCACAGTGAGTATGGAGAGGCGTATCAGTCATACTCTGGTTCTGGTATGCCAAATGTTACTGTCAAATGTTTTGGCTGCACTTCAGTCGCGGTTTGGGATGGTTCCCAATTAGATGCTTACAACAGGCCGCTGTCCAAAGACCCGAGTCGTGAAAACTTATTGGAACACCCGACCAAAAGCTACACACTGCACATGTCAATTAGGCCTAGGCCTAAGACGCGTATGTGAGAAATGATCCTGCGTGGATGATCATTCGTTCTGGCAGTGCACCATCTAAATCACGCCAATTACGCACAGAATTAAATGAACCAGGATCAGTAGCATTGTGTTCTTTAGGGTAGAGTGAGTCAGGGCTCAGATCGCACAGAGCTTGAGCAGTGATAGGAAATTAGTGAAACATAACCTTAAATAAGTTCTGCTCGCCCACGGCAAATAGACTGTATGGTGTACACAGAAGAAATGAGAAAACAGTAATGGAGCTAAGATACTGGCCGTATCTGACTCATATTCGACTTCTGTTGGACTGTGTTAGTGATAAATTCAGTGGATATCTGACCTGGTCAAAATAGATGGTCATAGACGTGTTGCTCATCTCTGACGGCTCGTGGTTGGTTCCACGCACGGCGGAAAAAGCCACCTTTGCCCCAGCGGAGCGGACTGATATGCCAAGCGAGGAGGTGACCGCTCCGTCCGAAGAAGGGTTCGAGTCGCACACCACGAGACACTTCCCTTCGAGCACGATGGGCTCCGTGTCGTTCTGGCCGAGGCAGGAAGCCACGCCGCATCCCAAGAGGAGGATCAGAGCCAGCATGGCACAGGGTCCCGGGCAGCGCGGGGGCACCATGGTCGGATCGCTGATCCTGTGCACACTGATACAACCCGGCAGCCCCTTGGAGGTTTGTTAGTACTCGATCACCTGGTCCAGACTTACTCCCTTCTCTCTTCCCCTCTCTCTCTTCCTCTATCTGTGATGCTCCCTCACTCTCTCAAACACCCTCTGACACACAAAAAGCACTCAGACTCTCACCGGCCGTGACTCCCCTCCCTCCTGTGCGTCTTAGTTGATTTTGGGAGAGTATTCAGACAACAGTTGTTGTAAATCCTGATGATTGAAAAGACAAAATGATAGTTTTCATGTCAGAAAGCAGCAGGAAAAGGATTTTATATAGTTTAGTCATTAAACTTGAGTATATTATCTGTGCGTAAAATGAGCATCGTGCGTAAAACGACAGTCAGTCGCTGTCAGTAAATGCCAAAACCTAAAAATCATGTTAATATTAGTACACATTTTCTATACGTCCGTTTTTCATCAAAACCAACTATTTGTGATACTGCGGAGTGTTTCCTACAACCGCAGCACTTTTGTAACAAATTATAATAACAATCGAAAATTATATTAGTTATCTTATCCCTCTTTCTAATTGATTGTTGTGGTGAAAGATGCACTTTGCAGGCATTTCTGTTGAAAAAAAAAAGGTAAATCACGACCTACCTGCGCTCTCCATCCCGCTGGTATGCTCTCTCTCTGTCTCTCACAGACTGTGAACTGAGCGCTCAGATCGCTGGTGCTAAAAAAGCAAGAGTCTCTGGGCTCCCTTTCGAGGGACAACTCACGCCCATTCTTTGTGTGTAGCCACTGCAATAAGACTCCTCAGAAGTATCCCTCAATTAAGAGCACATGCATGGTCTAACGCGGGTTTGTTTACATATTAGTCTATTCAATGTTGTGTGTCCAGGGGCCCCTAAGGACGGCCAAGATCACTTGCTCTCAATGATGGTAATGTGTCATTTAGACTATATGTTTTGGGTTTCTCTCGTCTCTCCCTGAAATCAAGGGGGCTGCAAGAGAGCCTTGCTGTTACATGCTACATTGGGCATGTATGTATATGTTACTAATTTAAGACCCAAACGAGCATTTTTATGAGTCCAAGATACTCTTGCGCCATCCAGTGGCGGTTTCTTTCTTCAGAATAAGGTGCTGCATCTGCTTTTCAGAGGTGCAGAGAAAAATCAAAAGTATAAAAGTGCTTAAAATTATAAGCCTGTTTGGTATCTTGCTTGCATATTATATTGAGGGGTGGAAGATCAGCAAATTATTTCAAATTCACATCACACTTATAAAAAAAATAAAAACTCCCCATATGCATGTTGGCACCTGACACTTTCTGTCCACCCTTAGCCTTTCTTTTCAAATCCTGACATGTCATCATCCTTTTGAAGAGCCGTGTAGAGGGTCCCTATCAGTGCTCCACCACCTCTGAAGAGTCTGAGAGTGGGTTTCACAAGTGGTGAACCCTCAAGTTAGACCTTTAATGAGCTGTCATTTTCCTACTTAAAGATATGCCAACTGGCTACATTATGCATGGGGCTCACAGGAAGGTACTGTATAGACTGTCCTCCACTTCATCAGCTCAAGTAAATAGTGTGAGGAAAAGTCTCCATTTCCTTCAACATAGTTCATCAAAACTGTAATTTGTGTTTTGAATGCGTGGAAGCAGATGGATAGGAGGAAAGGACAAAACCAAGTCTTTTACTTAAAGGTGCTGAGTGTCATTATGAATAAGCACTTAAAGTATTGACACAATACATACCATACAACTCAGAGTAGACTGACAAATACACTGCTCAAAAAAATAAAGGGAACACTTAAACAACACAATATAACTCCAAGTCAATCACACTCCTGTGAAATCAAACTGTCCACTTAGGAAGCAACACTGATTGAGAATCAATTTCACTTGCTGTTGTGCAAATGGAATAGACAAAAGGTGGAAATTATAGGCAATTAGCAAGACACCTCCAATAGAGGAGTGGTTCTGCAGGTGGTGACCACAGACCACTTCTCAGTTCCTATGCTTCCTGGCTGATGTTTTGGTGACTTTTGAATGCTGGCGGTGCTTTCACTCTAGTGGCAGCATGAGACGGAGTCTACAACCCACACAAGTGGCTCAGGTAGTGCAGCTCATCCAGGACGGCACATCAATGCGAGCTGTGGCAAGAAGGTTTGCTGTGTCTGTCAGCGTAGTGTCCATAGCATGGAGGCGCTACCAGGAGACAGGCCAGTACATCAGGAGACGTGGAGGAGGCTGTAGGAGGGCAACAACCCAGCAGCAGGACTGTTACCTCCGCCTTTGTGCAAGGAGGAGCAGGAGGAGCACTGCCAGAGCCCTGCAAAATGACCTCCAGCAGGCCACAAATGTTCATGTGTCTGCTCAAATGGTCAGAAACAGACTCCATGAGGGTGGTATGAGGGCCCAACGTCCACAGGTGGGGGTTGTGCTTACAGCCCAACACCGTGCAGGACATTTGGCATTTGCCAGAGAACACCAAGATTGGCAAATTTGCCACTGGCACTCTGTGCTCTTCACAGATGAAAGCAGGTTCACACTGAGCACATGTGACAGACGTGACAGAGTCTGGAGATGCCGTGGAGAACGTTCTGCTGCCTGCAACATCCTCCAGCATGACCAGTTTGGCGGTGGGTCAGTAATGGTGTGGGGTAGCATTTCTTTGGGGGGCCGCACAGCCCTCCATGTGCTCGCCAGAAGTAGCCTGACTGCCATTAGGTACCCAGATGAGAACCTCAGACCCCTTGTGAGACCATATGCTGGTGTGGTTGGCCCTGGGTCCCTCCTAATGCAAGACAATGCTAGACCTCATGTGGCTGGAGTGTGTCAGCAGTTCCTGCAAGAGGAAGGCATTGATGCTATGGACTGGCCCGCCCGTTCCCCAGACCTGAATCCAATTGAGCACATCTGGGACATCATGTCTCACTCCATCCACCAACGCCACATTGCAGGAGCATGCCCAGGCGTTGTAGGGAGGTCATACAGGCACGTGGAGGCCACACACACTACTGAGCCTCATTTTGACCTGTTTTAAGGACATTACATCAAAGTCGGATCGGCCTGTAGTGTGGTTTTCCACTTTGATTTTGAGTGTGACTCCAAATCCAGACCTCCATGGGTTGATAAATTTGATTTCCATTGATAATTTCTGTGTGATTTTGTTGTCAGCACATTCAACTATGTAAAGAAAGGAGTATTTAATGAGATTATTTCATTCATTCAGATCTAGGATGTGTTATTTTAGTGTTCCCCTTTATTTTTTTGAGCCGTGTATATTAAATAATTGTTTTATACAATTTTCTAATTATTGTTTTCATTGTTTGTTAATTTTGTAATTGTTCCTTTATTTTTTTAAATTTCACATTTGATACTGATTTTTGATACTGAAATATGTATATCAGTATCAAAAATCGTGATACACAACTCTGAGTTGTATATCTGAATATACACACACTTTTTCTGTTTTATTTACTTTAGTACACGAACTGTATGAAATTATTTTTTTCTTTTGTAATTTATTTGTAGCTTTGGCAAAATTGTTGTTTTACAGTCATGCCAATAAAGCTGAATTCAACTGAAATGAATGTGGCCACCAGCTACCTCCACAAATGTAACATCCCTGTGTAATGATTCACAAGTTGCAGTACATAGAGAAGACATCATTTTAGACTGAATCATGGTGATCCTTCCTCCCGTTCTCACCCCCATTTGACAAACATTGCACTGTCAGAGTCAACCGACAAACCATGCGGAAGAGTGACATCAGGTATCCAAGAGCCACATCTGACCCCAGGCCAACAGAAGGACACATAGCAACAGAAAACCTCAAATGTCAAGTACAGGGAACATGCAAGAGAAAGGGATGTGGCCTACATGGCGTTACCATACCAGGGGCAGCCGTTGCCCTAAAAGAGACTTTACTTCTTTCAGGCAAGCTGATCGGCTAGACTGACAATGATGTTACGGTTATTTTCCCTGACAGCTAGCAGAGCCTACTGGCTTCCAGGAACAAGGAGGTCGATTATGTGATGGGTCTTAAAGTGAGCCATCTGGCCTCAGTCTGATTCTGGTTTTGTGTTGTCTTGTGTGTTTTTCTTTACAAATCACACATTTATGTTAACACGATTCTTCTCATGGCTTAGATTTGATTTTTCTTTATGTAGAAGTCATTTGTTAGTGATCTCATTGTCAAAAATAAGTGACCATATCTTTTACCATTTGTCCTATACTTAACACTTATATGATTCATTAAACAACCTATAAATCAGAAGAGGTCCACCCTGTGTGCTCACACCACCATATGCTTCACAGGGACTAAAATACTCACTTTAAAATGGATATCTGTGTGTCCATCTGCCTGCCTGTCCATCTGTTTGTGTGTGGCTATAAATTAGTCTGTATCTTCATATCTGAAACGAGGTCAGACTCTCAAACAAGTTCATTTGAGAGTGCTCTTTCAAAGACGCCTCTGAGTGAAAGGGAGGGAGATTGTGTTATGACTCTCTTGTCTTACATCAGCAAGATGTGACCTCTATCTTAGCATGTGTGAGGAGACAAATAACATCAATCTTGCCTGTTCCTCCCCTGCTAGTGCTAACACCCTGAGGAGGTATATTGCCAACCCAAAGAGAGGTTAAGATAGACTGTACCAGCTAGAGCTTACAGTAACTGGAATTACTTTGTGTGTGTGTGTGGAAAAAATGTTCCCTCAGGGTAAACCATCAAATTTTAGGGGTAAAACTTGAATTAGGGTTAAGGTTGGGGTTAAGTCTCCAGGCAATGAAAGTAAGACAGTGGTGTGTGTGTGTGTGTGTGTGTGTGTGTGTGTGTGTGTGTGTGTGTGTGTGTGTGTGTGTGTATGTGTGTGTGCGCGCATGTAGAGCATCTATATAGCTCAACAATTTATTCCAATCTCATGTGAAACAGAAGATTTGTTCTCACATAGTTAATCACAAAATAATCAAATGTATCCCTTTTAATGACTTTCATAGACCATAGATCATTTTTATTATTATCTAACCTAAAATAACTTTAGACATATGACAATTACTTCTGATGGCAGGAAACCAGTATATTCATTTATGAGTTTGTTTACTAGGGAAAATACAGGTAAACGTTGTTACACAGGACAAAGAAACGCTGTAGATGAAGTGTGTATATTACACAAATACTATAGTATTTCTACTTACTATTATGAAGTACTTTGCAGTTTATGTCACTGTATTCTTCTTCCCCACTTTATTTAACTGCGGTTACTTTCACTGTATGTGTTACCTTGATACATGTAAATACTCTGAGCCTCAAACACTCAGCAGAAAGGCATGGGCAGCTTTCCAGCTGCCAAAAAACCCACATATTTTTAGATCTATTCTCTATTTGTATTTATGAACATACTGATAAATGTTATTTGAATTAGATATGGATTTTGCGAATATATTACACCACAGGCCATGAAAAAGAAATCTGGCTCTTCAGCACATAAAGAACAACATCCCAGCCAGCCTAGGCCTTCACCAGTTTGCTTTCAGAACCAACAGATCCACAGAGGATGCCATCTCCACTGCGCTCCACTCAGCCCTCACACACCTTGAGAAAAACAACACCTACATCAGAATGCTGTTTGTGGATTTCAGCTCAGCATTCAACACAATCTCCCCCATGAAACTGATGGACAAACTCAGTACTCTGGGTTTAAATACAACACTCTACAACTGGATGTTGGACTCACAAACAGACACCAGTCAGTTCAGATTGGCAGACACAGCTCTTTCACTCTATTGGTCAACACCGGAGCCCCCCAGGGCTGTGTGCTCAGCCCCCTCCTGTTCATGCTGTATACCCAAGACTGCATCCCTCGACATGGAGAGAACCCTGTTGTGAAGTTTGCGGATGATACAACCATTTCTAACAACAATGAGACTTCATATCGGGAGGAAATTCATAATCTTGTAGAGTGGTGGTCAGAAAACAACCAAGGAGCTCATGATCATTGATTTTAGGAAGGCGATAAAGACATGCACTCCTGTCTACATCAGTGGTGCTGAGATGGAGCAGGTGAATAGTTTCAAATTCCTGGAAATCAGCGGAGAAGATTTCACAGAGAACCTGGTCATCTCACATCTCCACGCTGGTAAAGAAAGCTCAAAAACTGCTATTTCTTGAGGAAGCTTAAGAAGGCCAAATTCACAAGTTCTTGTTAGCTTTTACAGAGGAGCAATAGAAATCATCCTGATTGGAAACATCACAAACTGGCATGGGATGTGCACGGCCCAGGATTGGAGGGCTCTGCAGCAAGTGATTAAAACAGAATCAGAAGATCATTGGTACCTATCTCCCGAGTATCAGTGATATCGGTGAGGTGAGGTGCCTACGCAGAGCCCAAAGAATACTAAAGGACAGTACCCACCCAGCCACAGCCTGTTCACCCTGCTGCCTTCTGGGAAGAGATATGGAAGTTTCTGCTGCCACACCACCAGACTGCAGAGCAGCTTTCCCCACCAAGCTATCAGACTCTTAAACTCTAATTCACCCTCAGCACTGCTCCAGTGAGTATAGTTTATTTCTGTTTTTCCATTTTTTATAATTGATTCTGTATTTATGTATATTGTCTGCTATGTAGCAGACAATATACATAAACAGTTTTAAAAAAAACGAAGTATGTTAAACTGTACAGATCATGAAGTGGCATGTTTAACTGTATCAATAGTATTTTAGTATTTATCATATTTATGTTATTGGATGGGTGGAGCCGGGTGAGGCGGTTGGTGTAGAAATGAACCGTTTCGCCACTTTTATTTTGACGAAATGTGTCGCCACTTCCTACCGGAAGCTTTGTTTCTGCACGTGGAAGGAACTTAACGGACGTCACCATGACGACTGGACGCGGACAGCTTAGAAATGATCGCAGTTATTTTTTGACATACGGAGATACGGATGGCTACAAAAACAGAGAAAGTAGGTTATATATTTAGCTAACCCATGAAGTGTATACAGTGACGGTTGCCCATTTTGTATTCCAACGTTATACTCCGCGTGCTGTAAGCTACAACAAACGTGGCTCTTATCCTTAAGTGGCCTTAACTTCCTACCAAAATAAATTATCTTGTTGTATCTGTCTCAAAGGGGTCAAGACCGGTGAAACAAATGGCAGCACCAAAAGCAGTTTCATCCAGAGTACGGGCAGTGAGGACGTCCACAAGAGCTGACAAATCATCCCCAGCGTCCACTCAGAACTTTATGGAGAGGTAATCTATCAGCACATGCCCGTATTTTCACCTGCGTGGCATTCAACGCTTCAGTGTTCAGACACTGTGGCAAGTCAAGGCTTTATTGCCCTGTAAGTGAAAGGATTTATAGACCGTGTTAGCAGCAGCAAAAAAAAAAAAAAACATTATAAAGACAGCAAATATCAATACAGGTGGAAGACACATGTTCAAATTAAGCTATCTGTTTCGTCCCCCACTGAATGTAGGCAGTAAATAGGAATAATCAAAGAAACACTAGGCCAGACTGCAGCATACAATTGTTTTCCTCACTATACCAAACTGCCTTTTTATTTAGTGTCTATGTATGTTATTTTTTTATGTGTGAATTGCCACAAGGGTGTATTGTCATAAATGCAGATAGATATGTATTTAGAAAGGCTATTGTCATACCATGCACAGTAAAAAAAATTCAGTTTTATTTTTTAGAAACTGCCCCAGTAGTACAAATGGCTATCTCTCTCTCTTTAATAATTGGTCACTGTTTGCTGTCAGAGTATGTCTAAAGCAATGCAAACACCTGACTCACTTGCCCTAAAAGTGCATGGCATGATATTGTAGAAATTTAGTTTAGATTTCCCTTAGACATCGGTGAAGCGTCCAGATTGCTCATTTTGTTCTACTAGCAGTCCAAAACTGAGAGTTTTTCCACTTACAGTGACATACCAGTGACAATTATTTGATGGATTGTCATGAAACTTGTAACGGACATTCATGGCCCTCAGAGGATGACTTGTAACAACTCTAGTTGATCCCTTAACTTTCCATTGGGTCAAAATTGTCACATCGGTTTATGACTCAATATCTAATATCATGTTAGCACACTAAACTGCGATGGTGTATAGTGAACACTGTAACTTGCATTTTCATCGTGAGCATGTAAGCATGCTAATGTTAACATAGCTTGAAGCAGCACTGTGCCCAAGTAGTCTCACAGAGGTGCTAGCATTGATACACAGGGCAACTTTCTGAGCAATGTTACTGGGCAATCTTGCTAGTGGCAAGTCAGACTATGTTTTGAATGGATAGCGGCGGTGCGGGGCAGGTGGCTGAGTGGTGGGGGAAGGGGATTACGGTAGTAATCTTTCATCATAACCATTGACGGCAACGTTGCCCTGCACGATTGCTCTAAAAGTTGCTCCATGTATCATCAGCTTAAGTCTCATAATTTGAGTAAAACAATTATTAAATTATTAAAGCTGTTTCTGATGAATTTTCTGTTGATCCACTAATTTGATGAATTGTTTCAGCTCTACACTTGTTCATCATCAAGCGCTTATCCTGTGTACAGGGTCGCTGGGTTATAAATCTTGAAATCCTAGATAGTTTTATGGTGCATTGATTTAGGACAAACATAGTTCTGTCTTTACCAAGTCTTTACCTTTTTCCAAACTCTTACAAACACCAAAAATGACTTAAAACAGAGCCTCTGCATGTTGACAGCTCCAAATGTCAGTGAGAGCCTACCTATTTGAGCATTTTGAATGTTAAAGCTAAAATATGTAACATTCCCCGTGTTAAAGTTGCACCAAAGATATTTATTCATCTGATATAAGTTTCATCTGGTTCATGATATTCAGTGGAATGTCAGTGATTGACCAGGCAGCTAATGTGAACATGTCATGAATATATCACTTACTGAAGTGATTTAATTAGACAGCATTGGCATCATTAACCAGGACAGGTGCAACCAGACAAACCTGATCAATACTTGTAAATAACACATTGAGAGTGTCTCAACTGTTTTTAGTGTTTGAGCACACTAAATCCTGCATATAGGAGTAATAATGATAAAAACATTGCAGCTTATATCCAAACATACTCATATCTACCCAAGAAAGATAAAAGACTTTACATTTCACACGGATGCGTCTTGCTGTGCTTGCTTGTTCAATTTGGATCTCACTCGCGCTTTAATTTATCACTTTCTGACACCGCAATGTTATCTGAGCAAATGTTGTAGGTCCACTTGGTGGTAATCAAGCAGCATGTAACACAGTCGTCTGTCGTGTTGATAAGAAGTTTGAATGAAAATATGAAGTTTTACCAAAGTGAGGCTTTACAAAACAGGGAGTCCTGCAGTTAACATCATGTTTGTTTTCTAAAACAGATCTATTAAATGAGACCATCAACTCGGGTCATTTCATTTTGTTTGCCAGAAGCGTGCGGTAAGATTGCCAAGTAGCCTGTCGAGAGCACATTTGTCTCAAACGCTGGTGCCTCAAAAGAACTGCATGCTGAACAACAGGTGGCATGAAAACAACTGGTGTCACTTCCTTGTAGTGATGTCTAATTACCTTTTCCGTAGACTGCCATCTGAGGTCCTGATTAAGATTCTGTCATACCTGGATGCCTCCGCTCTTTTCAGCGTCAGCCACGTCAATAAGCTCTTCCATCAGCTTGCCAATGACAAGTAAGTATCATCCAGGTCTTGTTAATGAAACATACACAGTAAATTAAATATTTTTTTCTCTAAACAAGTGAAAAAAATACTAGTGCATTGTGTTGTATACTGCTCTCTGTACATTTTGCTCATTTGTAATTGGTATGAATTTCCGTCTTCTTGAATTCTTTGACTTATTGTGCAGATGTTGTTGATGTTGTCCTTTTTTATTTTATTTTTTTGTCATTTCATTTGAAGCCTGGCTGCATAACAATTTTCCTCCAAGTGGGAACTAAACTAAACTAAAACTAGGGCTGCAACAGTTATTTTTACCATAGATTGATCTGCCATTAGTTTTATTGTTTAATCAATTATTCATTTGGTCTGAAATATTTCAAAATGATCTTTTATTTACTGTCATAGAAGATAAAAAAAAACTATATCCACTTTTGAGAAACTGGAACTTTAGAACTGGAAATGTGGCATTTGTGTTAAAGAAATTACGTAAATAATTAATAATTAACAATAGTTAGCACATTTTATTGCATTGATAGTTGGTTTTCTTTTTTTAATGAAAGAAGTTTCTTTCTGACTCAGATTTTATTTATTCATTTATCTATTTATTTTTCAGCTCTCTTGTACACAGGCAAGATCAGGCGGTCTGACAACCTCTTTGTCCTTCACCACAAATGGCTCATTTAAACAGCAACTTTTAGTGGAGTCTTAAAAATGATGAATCAAAATAAACAGAGAGAAACCGGCCCTGACATCTCATAAGGAAGAGCTGAAAATTGATCCCAATGCCAGTTTTGTCGCTCATAAGAATGAAAAGATACATTCATATGCATATGATGGACCATCGTCTTATAATGCTGAGCCAGGAATAGGCAAGAATGAGGAGAAATAAATGTAAGAAGTCGAGTTTTGGTGTGAAAGAGATGGGCAGGTGTCGTGGTGCGTGAAAGCAATACCAAAACTAGTGGTGGTCGTCAAAAACTGGCCAGAGTAACAATACTTACAGCAGGAACTAAGGAGGATCAGCCTGCATAAACACAATATGTTTACAATAATTGTCACTCACTGCCCCTTTCTATACCTTCCAATGTCATCAACACAGTGTTCTGTGGAACAAGCTATACATAGCAGAGTTTGGCAAGAATAAAAAACGGAAACCTAAGTGCATGCAGGAGCTGCTGCTGAAGATGGCCACAGTGGAGCTGCAGGACCGGGCTCCGGGCTACTGGAAGAGGTTGTACTTCAGGACTGGCGCCACATGTGACAGGAACAAGTGGAAAAGACATCTCAGACTCATCAGCTGTCACACCGGGCTGCCCAGCCAAACAGAGCGGGCCCTCAGGTAAGAGCCGCTGCTCTAGAAAACCACTTAGATGGAAGTACCAGAGTTGTGTGATTTCTTTAATGTACCGTGCACTTAACATCATTTAGCGGACACTCGAGTAGCCTGACAAGGGTTGCTTGTGAGTTAAGCTAATTGAGTGCTTACCATTGTATTTTCAAGCATTTCAACCCCTTTCGCTGCTGAGGTGAAAAAAAGGTCTCATTATTTCTGTAGGAATGTCAGTTAGTTTTATGTTTTAAACTTCGTTGCTTGTTCCGCATTTCAGCTAAAAAGAGGTGTGTGGACCATACCATGTGTATGCCATAATCTGCCGTTTGCCAACTGCTTGGTATGCGTAGCTGCCAAGACAATTGGAAACAGCTCTGTGAGGTGTCATGGGAAATCCAGCACACTGTTTGCTGTTAGCCAATAGTAAAACTTTAGAGATCCACCCTCGCCATCAAGAAAGTTCAAGGGTAGAGACTGGAGGACAGTTCGAGCCGCTGGCAATCAAAAACAAAGCATGGTTTGTTTTTCATATTGCACTTAATGACACTTTCTTATTAAAGGTGAGAAAGGAGGTCTCTGTCTGAATGCGGTGTCTGCTCAGGGGGAGGGGGATGCCTGCACACAGGGGAAAGCTCTCTCACTGCCTCCAGTGTGGTTTCTGCTGTGTTTTTATAACCTCTGATTAGAGGCTGTGCAGCACTCAATTTTGAGTTCTGTGGCAGTCGCTGTGGTACAGAGGGGAAGTCGAAATAATTGTGTTCCTTGCAGAGGCTGTCTGAATTGTTGAAATAAATTACTTATCCCCCCACTTCCCCCTCCTCAACCACAACACACACATGCATGCACGCACGCATGCACACTTTCCCAGCTCAGACAATTCCCTCTGGGGGTTTGTCTGTTAGACACTGAGGAGCATGCGATTTACCTTGGTAATAATCATTTCACAAGACATCACATATACAGAGTGAAATCCCCTGGGTCATCTGGGGCCTCCTGGGCTGCTACAGTTTTTAGCTTTGTTCCTCCACTTAATTGATATTGGATGGTGCCTCAGCGACACACCGCCTGCATCACAGGTAGGGGCAGCCTTGAATTACAGTTTAGACAGAACTGGATCAAGAGATTTATCACAACAGCTGCAGTTTCATTTCATTCGTTGCATATCATTTCATTAGCGAGAGCAGCTGGAGTCCTACTGCTCCCTACTGCTGTCAAAAGAAACGTGATAGCCATTAAACTCATAGTTTACCTGATTTAAAGAGCAAGAGTCAGCTTTACCCAACACTGCCCAATTATTTGCATTGTGTTAACTTCAAATAAATGGTAAACCTATTACTATTTTAAGGGAATGCTTAGGGAGTTCTTTCCCACTTTATAAAGTAGGGAGCCTGTAAATGAAGCTAAGCGGCTAAGCACTTGTTCCCACTACGCTACACTGCATATAAACAGCTGTACATGCTTATGTTGCAAAAGCCCAAATAACTGTCATATCTTATTGCTATCTTATTGTGTTATCTTATTCTAGAAATTTGCGCGTCACCTGGGAGCTGACGGTCTCTGATAAGTCAGGGCACGAGGTCACATATGAGCCGAGCTGGTCCCAGTTCTGTGAGACTTCTGTGACCCTGTGCTGGAGCGGGGGAGGCTGCTTGCCCAACTACCAGCAGATTTCCGCCCTTCAACTCCATGGCGTCAGGAGGATAGAACTCAGCTGCCCCAGTCTAAAGAAGTAAGACAGCCGGCATCTATCCCCACTCTCTCTCTCGGGCTCTGTTTCCTCTTTCTCTCACGGTGAAACCCACTGTTCTCTTTTGCTTGCTCTGTCAGACCTGGCTGGAGGTCCCTCATGGCGAAGTTAGACATGCAGACTCAGGCTAAAAACATGCAGGTCATTGGCCAGGACAGACTGGTTGAACTGAAGCTGCTGCAGCCTGGCATCATCATCGGAGTCTGGAGGGTAATTAGATCACAGGCAGCCATGGCATTTTTTTAATCATTATTCATTTGTTTTTAATTGCTAAAAACTCGCTTTTTTTAAATTTTACTTAAAATGTCTGATTCAGCTGTAGAATTCAAGTGGTGGCTCTCTTCGCAGGACCAGTGCTCCGTCGCCTTTGTCATGTTCATCCTCCACTTCCACAGGCTGGTGGAAAGAAGCATCCAGGGATCTTCTACCTGGTAGGCTGCACTTGAACATACACCTTTTTATTCACGTGCTTAGATGGCGTCAAATGTTTTGGGCTCAAACTCAAAAGCTGCAATAACTATCTATGATGTACAGCAGGATCAATGGCACTTCTGTTTCACCACCACAGTAGATAATGTGACTGTACCAATTTTTTATATATTGTATAGTCAGGACCAGTTACGGCAGTGATTTAGTCATCATTTGCCATCAGGACACAGCACAGTGTAGGTGTTAACTCTAAGCGGTTGAAGTTGCTCATTAGCAGACCTTAAAACAGAAAAAGGCTAATTAATTGGAGAAATTTGCTTCTGCAGTGTTTTTCAAGAAAACAGTGAGAGATCATTGGTTCCTAACCCGGGGATCAAAAAATAGGGGTCAACACATTTCTGTTAAACAAAACAATGTATATTGTTTGTGATTGTGCTGTTTTTTCTTGTGAAATACAGGATACTGTCACTTCTTCGGTCTCTAAAAATCCTGCAAATGAAACAGTCTGAGTGGTTAAAAAATCACTTACAATTCAGTACAGGAGTCTCTTTATAGTCTTGAAGATGCTTCGGTGATCATCCTATTGTGAGTCTTGCACATGAGCACAGCGTGGACATAGCCCCCTCTCCTGGTTTCTCGTGAGAGCACAGTCTAACAGCACATTATGATTCCAGTCCACTAAAGTGATAAAGCTCTGAAATGGCTTCTTAATCTCAATGTTCCCTTCGCTCACTGTGAAGGGAACATTTCATTTACCTTTTTACTTTTTTCTTCATCCAGCCCCTACATGGAGCCAACAGTCAAACCCCCTCTTGATGACATAGACCCTGAATACGGTCTCCATGGTTACCAACTACACATTGTTCTCCACGACAGTGTATGCGAGATCATGTCCAGAAACTTCTCCCAACTCTTCTGCAGGAGAAGTAATTTATTTATACTCATATTCACTAAGTCACACTCTTAAATGATGCTGAAGAAAAAAAAAAAAAATATATATATATATATATTTATACATTTAGAGTTGATGTAAAATGTCAAAAATCTGTTTCCTTAGTCATGTCTAAGTGTTCAGTCTCTCTTTTTATCTCATATATTTACTAAATTTATTTTATAGTTTAGAATGCCTCTGTAGCAGCAAGTCCAACACAGACAGACTCAAAAAAGCCTCTGTTCTCAGACCATCAGTAGTAGAGAACTCTGTCTTCTGACATCTGTATCCTCGGCCTTGTCTAGCACATTGTCCTCTGGGAATCCTCAGTGCCGCCCTGCACTTTTGCATATTTGCTCTCCACCATGTACTGTGCAAGGTTTTATTGTATAGTTTACCTAAATATGTGACATATGCACATTTTTACATTGTTATATACTGAAAAATTGTACAACCCACCTACACACATGGTCAGCATACAGTTAGTATTTTAATACTTATGTCACATATATTTCTATCGTAAAATCTTCTTTCTCTTTGTTCTAAATATTTTTCTTTATTGTACACTAGGGTTGTTGAGCACAGCCTCGAAGTGTGCCACCCTGCATTTTACTGCACATATTTTATGAGCACGTGACAAATAAAAATGTAAATCACCTTTATTAGCTATGTTCTCTAAGAAATTACTTGTGTTTAAAGATTATTACAGTATATTGCTTGTAGGTATAAGTCCAAATAAAATCACAATGTTTTTCACCTCATGCGATTTTCTGAAACCTGTCATGTTGTGAACATGACTAAATGTTGATACTAACTGATTAATCATGTGACCTAACACCAAAATGCTAATTATTATACTGTAAGGACTCACTTGTTGTGTGTTGTCTTCGACCAGCTCAGATCTGTGACGGCCTCATCCAGCTAACTGCCATTAGCAGGGCAGACTTGTCGCAGCACACACCTCTGTCAGGCAACATCACCCTGCCCTGGAGGTGTGAGGCCCTACAGGGCGCAGTAGAGGTACAACATGTGCTGTTGGCCACTTGCACACTGTTTCACTATGTGTTGTAGGAAGAAAGCAATCCATGCCCAAAGCATCTTAAGTATGTAGCTGACAAGACTACGTTCTATTTTTATTGTAATCTTCACAGGTCTATTAAAAAGTTAATTTTAGTATAACTCCCTCTTATCTCCAGCCTAAGGAGAATACAGTTGAAATCTCTTGTTTCATCGTGAAATTTGACAGTTTTGACTTCTAACTTAATAGATGTGCTCCTGGATGATGATTTTTTTTCATGTTGTCATGCTGTAACCCTGCTGAAATCACAGCATTGAGGTCTTGAAACATGTTTATTTTTCTACTTTTTTACCCAGAATTGCTGCGTCATGAGTCTGACTCTTCTGGATGAATTCAAGAGACCCTTCTGGTGTGCCAGCTCTCCTGTTTTCATGACGCTGGAGAAGACGCCCGTGTCCTATGACTACGATGGGGAGCACTTCCTGATCCACTATCAGGATTCAGATGGTCAGGTGAAGTTGAAACTTGTGTTGATGAAAGAACAAAAGCAGTTCGTCCTCATAAGCTTAGTCGTCTATGTGACTGTTTGCAAAGTCAATGAGCATTTCACTAGAGATTACTGAAGGTGCAGTATTTCTGGGACACGTTTTGAGATATATAATCATTACAGTTCAATACTATGATTATGCTTTTTAATATTTTGAGTTAACGTGTCATATACAGTATACATGTTATCATCTGTTAATGTTGTATTATATTAGAATATCTGTAACACCTTGTTTATAGGGAGAATAGAGTGCCACCAAAATAATTTGAAGCTTTTAGTGGGTAATAATAATATTAAACTTAATGAAACTTTTAAACAGCAATATATTAAGAGTTGTTTTGATTAATGCAGAAAATGTTGAGCTGAAAAAAACTATTTGCCAGAGTAATGACACTTTTTTCATTACTTTGTCTTAAATGGGTTTATGAAATACTTTATTACTTTTTATTTCAATTTACAAATGTGTCCTCCTGTTATTTTGTCCCATGATTCATTTGTCTCTTGTGTTTCACAGTTTAGGTTTACCGACACTCTGTCTTTATTTAGCAAAATCATTTGGCATCTGTTTTATGAACTAGTTAATGTAATCAATTTTGTATAAAGAGAGAAGGATGGGATAGAAATGTTAATAGGAACATTTAATTGCCATTTTACAATATAATTACTAAAATCTAAATGAATAATGTATTGATAGTTTGGCATCATTAATGTATTGATTATAATATTATTGTAATTAAACAGTCTATACTTATTCTGGTGGCACACTCCATATGTTTGCTATTCTTAATAAATCTGTACAAAAGAAGAGAGAATATTCTGTAAGAAAATACAAACTTCAGACTGTTGGTGAAAGGTTTGATCTTAATTATTAAAACAAATGTTAAATGTTCTTCCTGAAGAAATACTTTTGTCAAATATTTGATCATTTAGATTTTGTTTATATTTGTTTGTGATTCAGTAAATGTTCTTTTGTTACAATTATAAACACGTTTCCATATCTTTGCAATTCATTGAACAGTCCTTCAGTGGATCTTTATCATGGTGACCCTCTCTAGAAAGAACTTTGAATATCTAATATATTCTCTAATCTATATTTAAATAGAACTTAGAGGTGATCTAAGTCATTTTAGTCCGTCATTTTGCCCAGCCTTATATTGTGTTCCCTCCCTCACTATGACATTTAGTTACTCAAAAATAGTTTTTATATGCACTGTAAGAGGATTTACCAGGGCACAACGTGATGGTCCATTTACACTGGGTGTCACTTTGCATGCAGAAACTATGAGTGCATGTTCAGAATCAGAATCAGCCAGTTTGCCAGGTATGTGTACACATACGAGGAATTTGACTCAGGATTGTACATTGCTCAGGATGTGCTTACTTACATACAATAATACTACAATAATAAAATCACACACAGGCTACAGTATAAAGAACACATATATACACACTATAAACAAAAACAATATAGACAGATTGAGACAATAGTGCAATGAGCAGAGTGCAAAAGATGCAGGAGTAAAGTTATTATCATTATTGTGTACATGTCGGAGGTGGATGAGATATACAGGTAACCACACATGCATACATGTACTCATGTACACAGTGTGATGGCGCATACTGGAATAAATAAGTGTTATGTGCAGGTGTTATATACATGCGGTAGGTGGATTTGGTATACAGTATATACAATATACAAAATGACAATATGAACAGCTCTGAAATAGAAAATGATGAATAAATGTGCAAAGTGTTAGCCAGTAAACAGGTGGCTGATTAGAGACAGCACAGGAATTTTTCCTGACACTGTGAGTCAGAAGTCAGCTGTTCATCAGAGTGATGGCTTGTGGGAAGAAACTTCCTCAGTCTGTTGGTTTTGGCATACAGTGCTTTGTAGCGCCTACCAGAGGGGAGAAGCTGGAACAGGTTGTGTCCGGGGTGAGATGGAACTGCAGTGATGTTTCCTGCCCATTTCCTGACTCTGGAAATGTATAAGTCCTGAATGGAGGGCAGGTTGGCACCGATGATTTTTTCTGCAGTCCTGACTGTCCGTTGTAGTCTGTCCTTGTCCTTTTTGGTAGCAGATCCTCAACTGCTGACTCCTATCAGTCAGGAAGTTAGTGATCCAGTGACAGGTGGATACTGGCACAGTGAGCTAGGTGAGTTTGGTGCCAAGGATGTCCGGGATGATGGTGTTGAACGCCGAGCAGATTTCAACAGGATCCATGCAGATTTCCTTGGAGTGTTGCAGGATATAATGCAGTCCCAAGTTGACTGCATCATCCACTGACCTCTTAGCCCTGTCTTCAGGTGGGCCAACACCAGTCTTTCAAAGGGCTTTTTGGGGGACTGGGATGATTGTGGAGCGTTTGAAGCAGGAGGAAACTTCACACAGCTCCAGTGATCTGTTGAAGATCTGTGTGAAGATGGGGGCCAGCTGTTCTGCACATATTTTCAGGCAGGATGGAGACACACCATCTGGGCCAGGAGCCTTCCTGATCTTCTGCCTTTGGCTTTGGAAGAGCTGTCTCACATCCTCTTCACAGATCATGAGTGCAGTTAAGGTGTTGGAGCGGTGGAGAGACTGTGTGTTTCTCTTCTTCTGGTAAAATCCATTCAGCTTGTCAGTCGTTGAGTACCAACAGTGTTGGGGGATGGTCTCTGTAGTTAGTGAGTGTCAGATTTCAGTTTCTGCCTGTATGTCGGGATAAGATGAACCAGTCAGTGATCAGAGAGTCCCAGGGCTGAACGGGGAACAGAGCGATAGGCGTCCTTTCATGTTGAGTAGCTGTGGTCCAGTGTGTTAGTGTCCCTGGTGAGTAATATGCTGTCTGTACTTTGGAAGTTCACGGCTGAGGTTTGCTCTGTTGAAGTCCCCGAGAACAATGAGAAGGGAGTCTGGATGTTTTTTCTCCACGTTAGTTATCTGGTCGGCCAGGTGTAGTAATGCCTCACTTTCACAGGCCTGAGGTGGAATATAAACGGCGACCAGGACAAACGAGGAAAACTCCCATGGTGAATAAAAAGGTTTACAGTTTATGAATAATGTCTTTAAATGAGGACAGCATGATTTGGACTGCATGTTGGAGGAAAGATGATTGTAGGACCAGGTTTTTGAGAAGGTGCATCCATCACAGACATTTTCTTAAATTTGGCCCACAGCACATCACTCAGCAGATCCCCTCTCACTTGAAATATCCAAATAAGTGTAATATTAATTATTAATAATTCTTTATTACCAATCATTCTCATGCCTTTCATTTGCCTTTGTTGTACATAGATTTGCGTTTGTCAAGACCACAATCCCTGATTTTGAATGCATCTACCCTTTAATTACCTCTTAGTTAGTCTCAATTTCATGAAATTTGCCACTGTGCTTTATAAAATTTAAGCAACTTTAAGCTTTACATGTGTAAATGGAATGAAAGTTTTGTTGCTTTCGGGTGATTCGGGCAAATCAAGTTTTGTTTCCTGTTATCATGGCATTTATATCTGAGCACCCACATTACCTCAATTGCATTGTCAGCCATTATGCAATCACTTCCAGATGAAAATTGAGTTTAATGTCCACACCCTGGGCAAGTCTGGCAACAGCGATAGAATTAGTGTGGGAGCAATTGTTGGAAACAGTTGCCGTGCTGTTGATGGGCCAGCGCTGCTGATGGCAATAAAATAAGCCAGGCCTCTGGGTAATAGGATTTCAGAGGCTTCCCCCTTCCTTTCCTCTGTCAGGGTCATCATCACCTTGAAAAGATGCTTATTTTCCAAACACATCGGCACTCAATGCAAAATCATTTGGGGAAACGAGCCAGAGGGAAAAAGAGGAGCAACGGTATGTGTGATGAATTGTGTTTTTTCTTGTCACAAACTTCACAATTGAATTGAGACAAAAAAAAACTGTGATGGGTCTGAATCATAAGGACTCCATGGGTTGTCACTATTTCAACATTTTACTTGTTCTCTCCAACTCCATCCATGTCAGTGCTGTTGCATGGCCACATGGATGAGAGCCACACAGCAGCACATTGTATTACTGACTTGGACACTTTATACGCTGACAAATCACATATTGGATACTGAGTGGACTGAATTATGTGTACTATGTATGACTTTCAGGTTGCACGTTTGTTAAAACACATTTCCATCACAGTGACCTTCATACTACTGTTTGCTGTCACATCAGCTGTTGCAAACTGCCAATCCTTCATTCTTCATTTTATTAGAAAAACCAGGAGCTTGTGTGCCAGTTAATGGACTCGAAAGAACATAAAGCCAGTTATCCAAACTTTTGAGTCACAGTGATGGCCAAACAAAGAATAGGGATTTTGGGGCCAAGGATCATGGAGCCTCAACTGAAAGCAGTGCATGTTCTGTCCCTGGTGTTGCAGAAAGTATTAATTTAATGGTCCTTCAGTGATTTTTCTATGAAGAATTATATTAGAGATAAAAAATCTATTTATATAAGCATGCAAGTTTTGCGATTTTTTAAAATATAGTTTAATATAGGTAGTCCTCCAGTAGATGGCTCTCTTTGGTAAACAATAGTAGAATCCTTTGGCAGCACAGTGGTTTACATTTTCTCCATCTTTTCCGTCTCTCCAAAGATAAATTGTAGAGAAAAGCATCCATAAATGTCTTACAGCAATGTTTTTCATCATCACTGTATTAATGTCATTTCTGCACTAAACAGGAAATGTGTATGTGTGTTTTTTTCTTTCTTTTTCTGCTCTTTTGCAAAGTAATTGCAAGCCTGTATGTTAATCAAAACTTGAAATCCCTTCAGCATCACATAACAATTAAAAAAGAATCCACCGCCACGCCACTGAATGGGTAAATTTAGTGGCATAAAGCTTCATTAAACTTATCTTTCTTAGTTTCCTCACAGGCTAATCTTGGAAGAAAATTGCTTCCATTTTTAGCCTTTAATTCTCTCCCTCCTGAGTGACCAGCTGGGTCCGCAAACTATTCAGCCTTGGAAGCCAATGACAGTCCTTATTTAGTCCTCTCATTGGAGGAAAACAGTTAACTAATGAAATTCACCAGGCAGGAGCTTGATTACGTGTGCCCCTGTGTCTGCACACAATCAACATGCATGCTTTTATTTTCAATGGCCTTCACAATTGACTGTCTTAAAAGATATTAGAACTCAATTTCCATTTCCCAAAAAACTGGGAGATAATCATAGTCTTGCTCCAACACTGATGTGAGGGCAAAGCCTTCTCAATTCCTAACCCCTAACATTTCACATTTATTACCCCGTTGTGTGAGTACGTCGGGCCAGAGATGTTAATTACACTTGTAATGATCCGAAAAGCATCAACCACAACAGCACAAAGGACCTATGCCAAGAAACCACATTAAAAACTGCACAATCTGGGAAAATGTGTTTCGTTGAGGCCACAAAATAACAGATGGTCAGGCATTTACAAGGCTGGAAGTGAACCCTACTACAGTCCCGTTGACCAGCAGTCCCCTCCTGTCTCTTATTCACCTTCTTCACTTGTGTTTATTTTGATCCCTGTAGGGAAGGGGAACTAGATAGTGGAGAAAGCTTGGTAGAGTGGCAGTATTATAATAAGCTCAGGATGCCAAGTAAGATCCCCCTTTGTTTATTCTCCCCTTTTTAAATGGTGCATCACGACCCGACCGGTGTGGAGAAATCCATTTATATCAAAGCTGTTGCTTGTCCTGTGGCTCCAAGAGTTCAATGAGCAATATGACTGGGGTGCCACTCCTGCAGCATGGTCCACTGTTGCCTCAGTCTGCAATGAAATACTGCAGAACAAATGTAATATCCCTGCATATTCCTGAAATCCAGGTAGTGATGATCAGGTGATATGCAATGGTGGAAAGAAAGTACATTTTTGTCTAATACAGAGGCCATATTGT